AAGGAAAGTACTCCCTCTAACTTCTCTGTGTTGGGGTTAAGCAGCTGCCGCCCTGAATTCCTCCAAGCCCAATACTTCTGGCCCGTTTAGCAACTCCTTGAGCTAGAGCCCACCCTTTCTGCTTAAAGGTTGCTAATAACACCTTATACTTATCCAGGAAGGCTTATCTCCATTTCATAAAACGGAGACCCAAAGAGGAGAAGTAACGTTCCCAGGATCACGCAAAACATGGTGAGGACGCAGGTCCCACACTAGCGCTCAGTGCTGCCTCCTGCTGGTCCAGCATCCAGCGTTTGTAACTCAACAGTCAGGATGTGGCACTGACAAATCTTTTGCTTGTGGTCCACTCTGACCGTGAGAATATTTTCCGTGCCCTCTCCTACTTCTTTATTTTGTCCACAAGCCTCAACTCACAGAGCAAACTTGCGTGCAGGGCGCACTATCCGCCAGGCCCTGCTTCAAGCCCTTTATGTATGTGTATATGTGTATGTGTATATCCATATGTATGTAAATAGAGACATTGACGTGTTGGCCCTCCAGACAGTCCTATGAGGGAAGTCATACAAAGGAGATCTTATTGTTTCCATTCCTATTTTACACAGAGGAAAACAGAGAGGTTAAGCTGTGTGCCTGGGGTAACACAGCTAGTTAGCAAGTGACAGAGCTGGTGTTCACACCCAGGCAGGAGGGCAGCCACATTACTGCACTGCCCTGTACTTACCTGCCACCCAGACCCCCTGCTGCCCCCTGCTTTATTATTTGAACAATATTCTGTTGTGTTTTTGGTGAGAGTTCACACAGTAAAGTAGGTTCCCATTGGACAGGCCCTGTACAGACGTCCAGTGAGGCTGGGTGAACGCTGGTTCCTCTGCTACCAGTGCTCTGGCTTCCCCACCTCCTTACCATCTCATCTCCGCTCTAGAGCCAACGCCGACCTGTTGGTCTTATACAGATGGCTTTTAGCAGAGCACTTTTGTCACGGGTAATGCAGCCTTGATTTCCTTGTTTCACTCAAAGGTGACCTCAGGGGACAGATTGGTTCCAGGTGTAAAGAGCCTCTCAGGGCGACATCTCAGGGAGTCCTCTGGTCGCAGCTGGTCCAGTTAGTGTGGTGTTTTTCTTTTTAAGAATTGGAGTTCTGTTCTACATTTTCCTCCCGTTCTATCCGGGACCGTCTATCATGACCCCACACAGAACAGTCAGTGGTGGTAGCCAGGCACCATCTAGCTGTCAGGGTACATGAGGCCCACGCTGCCCTGTTTGCACACGCTGCGCTGTCTGTGGCCTGACCAGGTGACTGCCCCCTCCCAGCCGTGTCCTTTCTAGTGGCAGAGGTGGAGCCAGGCAGTGGGGTCAGCTGTGGGAGTTTGCTGCAGGGCCACCCTCCTGGCTGGGCAGCCTCACCTGCCAGAGCTGGCTCCTGGGGGCTCGTGACGTGCCCAGGACTCACGGATAGGGGCCCTAGGTGTGAGGGTGGGATTGGAGGCTGGGCTCAGCCAGGTGCCTGCTCTGCGGCTCAGCCTCCTCCCACACACGGAGGAGGGCTGCTCGGGAGGCCTCTCCACGGCACTGCTGCAGGCGTGTCATGTTCACCACGGATGGGAGGTGGCAGTGCCTTCCAGTAACGTCCCCGTTATCGGGCTGGGTGAGCAGCTCTCGCGGCCCTCAAACGCCAGCCCCTCCCCACCATGCCCCCAAGTCCTCCCTAGTGTGGTCCCAACTTGAAAGCACCCCGAAGTTTCCAGCACAGTGAGCAGGGTGAAGAAGGCCTGTTGGTACGGGCCAGGCAGGGTCCACACTGTGCCTGGTGCATCTCGATGGGACAAATGGCCGTCCCTTCCTTAAGTACGGCCCCCTGCTGGCTCCATGGCTGACGATGCCCCCCAGGGCTATGGGCAATGCCTGAGTCTCCGGGGGGCATCTCCCAGGGCCAGAGACATTGATAGGTCAGGGGCATGGCTCCGGCCGCACTCAGACTAGGGCCTTCAGGGCCCCTCCCAAATGCCCGTCTTCCCTTCCACATTGCAACCTCCCATCAAGGGGCTCCTTTGCCCCTGCTGTCCCTGCACCTGACACTGGGCACCTTGACCAGACACCTCACACAGGGCCCCTCCACAGTCCAGACTCTGTCTGCAGAGCCGCCTTCCTGAACTTACAGAGAAGCCTTCCTTGACCCATGTTCCGTTGTACTCGGCCTGTCAGCCCTCGAGTGGGGGTCTCCCTGCATCTTCTCCCCGATACATGGGCCGTCTAGAGGCCCAGTGAAGCTGGGTGCTGTCCTGGACGTGGAGAGACCACTGGGCACTATCCTGGGCCCAGACTGACCACTGGCCCGAGCACAGCTCTCTGCTGCTGTAGTCATGGGTGGTTGGGGCCCAGCCTGAAGCAGTGTGGGTGGCCTCATGCTCCCCCAGGTGGCTCTTGTCCTTGGGTGATAGGGCCTCTGAGTGGTAGCAGAAATGGGAGTGTCATGGGTGGTGACAGGAACCTGAGCTGCAAACCCACACGGCAGGGCTGGAGCCTCAGTGCTCGACTCTGAGCACCAAGGAGTCAAGTCCAAGCTTGGAGGCAAGTGCAGAGACCCCCTTGTTAGGCGGCTCACTGACTTGCTGCTTCTCCTGTCGGAGACCGCTGGCTGACTAACC